TAATAATTTTAAGATATGGAGATCGAAATACGAGTTGCATAACAATTATAAATTTGATGAATTGTTAGCAGTACATACCTATAAATGTCAACACTCTATACATTGTGGATATTTATTTGAAAGCTCGAATAATTTAACGAGGTGATTAATAGTATTTGAATTAATGACTTCACTCGTCTAGCCATCAATATCGTTCACAATAATCTGTTATAATTGAATAAGATTCTACTTTGTACTTGAAACTCTTGTTGGTTATTCCAAATTTTAAAGTATTATCATTATTGTTTATTTTATTTTTTAGAGTTTGTGCTACTCAATTAATTCGTTTGATTATCTTAATAATTTTTTAATATACGGATAACAGTAAATTCAATACGATAGTTATTTAGTACGTTAAATTAAATGAAATAGACAATTACCAAAATAAGATAAAAGAACGATAATATTAATTTTTAATTTTTATAATGTAATTAAAAAATACATATATCAAATGTCATGTAATAATTACATAAAATATTAATTAAATATAGTATATAGTAATATAACAACATAAACGGTCACATAATATTTATATAAATAGGGTATACACCACAAAAAAAATGATGATTTAATCAGATTCTTAAAATCCGTAATTTAACATAACAAACATTTTATGGGCCAAATTAAATAAAATTAAATGAAGGAGGAGCAAATAAACATATATATATATTTTATAAAGTTACAAATCTCATTAAGTTTACTCCAATAATATACTATGAAAATCATATATAATTGTTAAACCAATAAAATGAATCTACATCTTTAGAAATTATTGTACACTTTGTCTTACAATCATTAAATTAAATTAGATATTAAATTTAATTTAAAAATAAAATTGTTGTTATTTTTGTATACACGATAATAAACCTATAAATAAATATTAATATAAAAAAAATGCGATTGAACCTCTATTCTTCAAGACTTGCTTATGAAAATGATTTTTTTTTTACATTTTAACTAATTTTTTGTATTTTGATTTTGATATTTTATTTATTTTTTTAAATAAATATTTAACATATTTTATTTATTAAAATAAATATATTTTTGAAGATGTGGTTACCATACAATGATTGTGCCATCAAAAATTAATTATATGGTTACCATGTAAACTAATATATTACATTGAAAATCTTACATGTTTTTAGAATATTATAATCAAATTTACAAATAAAAATATTTTATACAATATGGTCAGCTTATAACCCATAGTGGTTGCAATAACGTATTTAGCATATTTATATATAATTATAAGGTCAAAACAATAAATATATTTACTATTGATTAAAATTTGAAAATATTAGAGTTGATTTGGTTTGAAAAAATAATCAAGTAATATCGTATCGAAAAAGATTATATTTAAAA